TTTAGTTGTGACATACATTCACTCGTATTTTTTACTAAATGTAAACTTGTGTTAATAGGGGTTTTCGCAGGACTTTCCTCAAGTACACTATACATTTTAAGTATACTCTTGATGTAGTAAGATTAAGAAAGTATAATTTCTTCTGATATTCTAAAGATCTTAATCTCTAATATTATATCAGCTACACCCAAGTCTTTCATATCAAAATGTTTCGTTACATTATCTTGATGTCTAGCATTATTTTGTGACTATTGGTCATTATCAACATATTGTTTACATATAGACATACAATCACGTAGGCCTTTGGTGTATGTTTTATGTATACACACTTGTCACACTCGTTTATCTTAAATTAATTAGACAACATCGTTTTATCAAACTTTCGGTGCCATTGTTTAAGAGTTTGTTTCAATCCATACAAGAATTTAACTAGTTTACAAACCTTTTATTTGTGATTAGGAAAGATGAACCCTTCTAGTTGTATCTTGTATATGTCCTCTTCTAATTCACTATTTAAGAATGCCATCTTTATATCCATTTGATGAATCTCAAAGTTATGTAATGTTGCAGTAGTAATTAACAACCTTATTGAGGTGATTCTAGTTACGGGTGAGCAGTTATCAAAGAAGTCAAGTCATTCCTCTTGTTTATATCTTTTGGAAACCAATCTAGCCTTTTATTTGTCAATTGATTCATCCGATTTTAGTTTCTTTTTGAAAATCCATTTACACTTTAAATGCTTGTTTCCAGGAGGTAAATCAACTAGCTCCTATGTGTGATTTTACATTATAGAATCTATCTCACTGTTAATAGCTCATTTCCAATATGGTGCTTCCGGTGTAGACATTAATTCATCGAAAGTCTTTGGGTCATTATCCAATATATAGGTTAAAGAATTTAGGTTAAACGAAGTAAATATTCTAGCCCTTTTACTACAACATGGTTTTTCATCATTTGAAGTGTCATTTACAGTATCATAAGTTCTTTTATTTGAACTTGAATTTTTTTATATGAAAAAATATTCTCGAAGAATGATGCATTTCTCGATTCAATTATTGTTCCGTCATGTACATCTTGAATTTTAAATTTATGTACAAGGAAACGATATGCACTACTATTATTGGCATATCCAATAAATATGCAATCAATCACCTTATGACTGATTTTCACTTGTTTATGCTTAAGTATTTCAAGTTTAGCCAAATACCTCTACACTTTCAAGTATTAGTAGGAAGGAGAATGACATTTCCATAATTCATATGAAGTTACTTCCATTTTCTTAAGATGTATTTTGTTAAGAATGCTATTTACCGATAGAATAGATTATCCCCACAAGTTCTGAGGTAGACCCGAACTTATCAATACTGAGTTCATCATCTCTTTAATAGTTTGATTTTTGTGTTCAGCAACATCATTTGATAGTGGTGAGTAAGGTGTCATTGTTTGATAAATGATTCTATGCTCGTAACAGTATTCTTCAAACGATGTCCCGTATTCACCACATCTATCACTACGAATACTTTTTATTCGTTTACTATGATTTTCAACTTCTGTCTTATTTAAAGGAATTTAAAGCTTCATCTTTACTTCATATTAGAAAGATATAACAATACTTTATATAATCATCAATTAAAGTTATAAAGTATTTGTAACACCCCAATTTTCAATAACA